TAACGTATCAATCAATGAAACAGAATCCTAAAAGTGCGCGAGATACTAACGTATAAATTTATAAAAGAGAATCCTAAAAGTGCGCGAGATACTAACGTATCAATCAATAAAAAGAATAAATCAATCAAAAAGAGAATAAAAGAGAATCCTAAAAGTGCGCGAGATAGTAACGTATCAATCAATAAAAGAGAATCCTAAAAGTGCGCGAGATACTAACGTATCAATCAATAAAAGAGAATCCTAAAAGTGCGCGAGATACTAACGTAACAATCTAATAAAAGGAATCCTAAAAGAGCGCAAGATATTAACGTATCAATCAATAAAAGAGAATCCTAAAAGTGCGCGAGATAGTAACGTATCAATCAATAAAAGAGAATCCTAAAAGTGCATCAATCAATAAAAGACTAACGTATCAATCAATAAAAGAAAAGAAATCCTAAAAGCGCGAGATACTAACGTATCAATCAATAAAAGAGAATCCTAAAATACTAACGTATCAATCAATAAAAGAGAATCCGAGATACTAACGTATCAATCAATAAAAAAGAGAATCCTAAAAAAAAAGATACTAACGTATCGTCATCCTCAATAAAAAGAGAATCCTAAAAAATGCTAAAAGATACGAGATAACGAGATACTAACGTATCAATCAATAAAAAAAAAAACGTGCACGAGAAAATCCTAAAAATGCGAGATACTAACGTATCAATCAATAAAAGAGAATCCTAAAAGTGCGCGAGATACTAACGTATCAATCAATAAAAGAGAATCCTAAAAGTGCACGAGATACTAACGTATCAATCAATAAAAGAGAATCCTAAAAGTGCGCGAGATACTAAAGTATCAATCAATAAAAGAGAATCCTAAAAGTGCACGAGATACAAACGTATCAATCAATAAAAGAGAATCCTAAAAGTGCGCGAGATACTAACGTATCAATCAATAAAAGAGAATCCTAAAAGTGCACGAGATACTAACGTATCAATCAATAAAAGAGAATCCTAAAAATGCGCGAGATACTAACGTATCAATTAATGAAAGAGAATCCTAAAAAAGCGCGAGATACTAACGTATCACTCCATAAAAGAAAATCCTAAAAATGGTCGAGATACTAACGTATCAATCAATAAAAGAGAATCCTAAAAGTGCGCGAGATACTAACGCATCAATCAAAAATGGTCGAGATACTAACGTATCAATCAATAAAAGAGAATCCTAAAAGTGCGCGAGATACTAACGCATCAATCAATAAAAGAGAATCCTAAAAGTGCACGAGATTCTAACGTATAAATCAAAGATAGAGAATCCAAAAATACGCGAGATACCAACGTATGAATCAATAAAAGAGAATCCTAAAAGTGCGCGAGATACTAACGTATCACTCCATTAAGGAAAATCCTAAAAATGGTCGAGATACTAACGTATCAATCAATGAAAGAGAATCCTAAAAGTGCGAGAGTTACTAACGTATCAATCAATGAAAGAGAATTATAGAAGTGCGCGAGATACTAACGTATCATTCAATGAAAGAGAATCCTAGAAGTGCGCGAGATACTAACGTATCATTCAATGAAAGAGAATCCTAAAAGTGCACGAGATTCTAACGTATCAATCAATGAAAGACAATCCAAAAATGTGCGAGATACTAACGTTCTATTCAATAAAAGAGAATCTTAAAAGTGCGCGAGATACTAACGTAACATTCAATGAAAGAGAATCCTAAAAGTTCGTGAGATACTAACGTATCATTCAATGAAAGAGAATCCTAAAAGTGCGCGAGATACTAACGTATCATTCAATGAAAGAGAATCCTAAAAGTGCGCGAGATTCTAACGTATCAATCAATGAAAGACAATCCAAAAAATACGATATCTATACTAACGTACTATTCAATCAAAAAAGAGAATCCTAAAAAGTGCGCGAGATACTAACGTATCAATCAATAAAAGAGAATCCTAAAAGTCCTAAATAGTAACGCGCGAGATACTAACGTATCAATCAATAAAAAGAATCCTAAAAATAGCGAGATACTAGCGTATCAATCAATAAAAGAGAATCCTAAAAGTGCGCGAGATACTAACGTATCAATCAATAAAAGAGAATCCTAAAAGTGCGCGAGACACTAAAGTATCAATCAATAAAAAAAAAATCCTAAAACCGTGCGAGATATTAACGCTAACTGTCCAACTACAGGTGTCCGATCACAGCCAACTGTCCAACTACACTTTCCGATTACAGCTGTTCAGAATGATTTGTGAAAAACAAAGCAGCTAATGCACCTATCATATTTGAGGAAACTGTAATGGTTATGGTTAAGAGTTAACAGTATTAGCTAAATTTAAAAAAACCTTCAAGGCTTCAATAATAGTTAATCTTTTCTTACTTACCTCTTGCAAACATGACAATGTTATCCTCCTGCTGCTTTGTATATCTGTCATAATAGACAATTCTGTCGCAATCTGATCCCAGCCATTTTTAACGACAAATGCCTTGGAAAAGAAGAGAAATACTTACATTAACAAATGTAACATTAACAAATTATGACAATAAATGTTTCGTGAATATCCTCAGTGTTTGATAGAATCTATACTGCAAACATCCATGCGGAAATATTTTACAACTTCTGCCATAGATTCTGACACAGATGTGTAAACGTTGGTCTAATCACCATTCTTTCAAAAAAAATTCGCAAAATCTTGGAGGTTAAGTGATTATGAAGGGTAAATTTGCCTAAAAACCTTGCTCGATTTTCAAAATTTAACCGGAAAAGTTTATTTTACCATTGGGTGTGTTATTCATAACAATCAAACTTACACTCGATCAAACAATTCGTTTCTTCTCTAACAACCCTCGGCCAAAAGCTACAACGTATTAAAATACCGCCATATTATTCAAATTAACCTAACATGCGGTAGCCATATTTTATTTATAGTCAGTAAGACAGACCAGAAGTCCCGCGAAGAATATCAGTTTTACAATCATTTGAAGGCATAATTCAAACATATCACAGAATGGAAAGAGAATCAGTCGTTAAATACCTGTTGAGAAGGGCCATAACGAGTATATTTGTCCAGTTCTTGGACGTTGAAAACCCACGTGTTCTTGGCCAGGAAAGCGACGTTACGTTAAACCAGAGCAAAGCAAAACCACATCTTGTCCACCAGGGTACCATGGAATAACCTTTAAGAACATATGAGTGATACACATCTTCGCCATTGTTTATTTGGCGATGTTTCGATCGACATACAACTAACTGCTATTAAACGACATTCGGCCATCTTCTCTTTCAAATGTCATTTCAACCCCTCGTGATGTGATAGGAAAATTAAGAATAAATTAATATTAATGATATATCTGAAATTCAAATGAAGAAAAGCTCCTAGAATGAAAAGGGTGATTCTTTTTAATTAGCCACGAGTTAGAAAATTCCTTAATTTGAGACAAATTATTGGACCATTTTTTGATATGATGACTCGGATTTACCAACTGAGTTGATAATGAAAATTTGCCAACATGAATGGTTCTAAAGCCGAGGTTTCTAGCGTTAACCCTCGCTCTAACGAAGGACTAACGAGAAGTACCCATGCGGCCTTTTTTTGAGTCGCGTCCAACTATCAATCAATAAAAGAGAAAAACGCCAAAAATAAAACAAGCGCCGCGGCGCTTATTCGAGTAAATGCTGTAGGTTCTGCACCTTAATCAGGTACACAGACACAACAGGCCTTCTTTTCCAATTTTACCAAATTTACAGAAAGTATAAGGATTAATTTCAGTACACTAGAACGCTGTTCGGTGACCAAATTTTTCCTTCAAATAATCGTAATTACTCAGTGACAACCTTGGTTTGCTTCTTTTTTATGACACTCAATAGAAAATTCCTTTATTACATTTGAAGACCAGCTGCCACTTTCAACGATAGAGTTTTTTTACTCTAGCTCACAACTTCTAGTTCGATGTTTTTTCTTTCCTTTTTTTCCTAAACAAGGACTGTAGTTACCCTTGCCAATCAACAGCCTTGGTACTGCCTTTCTCACAGGCCAAGACGAACGGATGATATTCAAACAGATTTGCGTGCAATCAGATCAATTTTCGTGTGCTGAACGAGGGTGTGGGAATTTCCTCTGTTCGAATATTTTAGCAAAATTTGCGTAATATGTGAGGATAAATTGTCCTTGCACGAAATTGGTTGACGCTGAGTTTCTACATAGCCACTTAGGAGACCTCGATATCATACCCAGGTCTCCCCCTCCCTATACAATGATAAACCACCAAAGAAAACAAAGCTCAATATTAACCTAGGAGAGCTGGGGTCAACACTAACCCTTAAATCCCATGACTGACAAAGACAGAATTTCTCCTTACAATGTCAATACAATATTAAGCAGGTAGGTCACGACAATGAAGAAAAATGAATTAGGGATATTTATTGATCCAATACCAAATTCTCAGAACTAACACCTCATAAATTGCTTGGCGGACAGTAGGGAGAATAACAAATGAAATCTTGAAAGTGAAAGGGTTAATGCTTGGATATAAAATTGAAATCTTATTTCAGAATTATGATTTTGCGAAGGATTACGTCACAAAGGTTTTGGGGTATTGTATCCAATAAAACATTGGCGGGTTTGGCTTCCAGAAATGCATAAAGAGAGGACAGCAAAGATTTTGACCCTAAAGACTGACTAACATCTCAGGAAATATATAAAGAACAGTATGGAGAATTTACATATTGATGACAGGGTCTAATTGGCTAACCAATACGTAACAATCAGCATCGTTTTATAATGTTATAATTAATCATTCATCATTCTATTTACATCAATCTGTTATAACATATATGTTAACATGGACAATCGGTTGACGTAAAAAAATAGTATTCTTTGCACTAGAGAATCTAGGGATCACCAGCGTGGAACACTGCAAGTTTAAACAAGATAAGAAACTGTCATTACAAAACCTAATTCAATCGTCGTTATATCGTTAGTCCATGAGGTCAGAAATCAGCCCCGGGACGGTACAGGACCTGTATTAGATTCTATGCCTCCTTCAGATCGGTACTCATTTGACGAAGTAACGTTATGTTCACTGATTTCGTCGGCAAGGTTAAGAAGTTCGGGATCGTCCTTATTTGATTCGAGCTCAAAAAAAGTGTCGCCATCTTGGTCGCCATTTCCATCCTGTGGAGCCGAAGGCAAAGCACTTTCAACTCCTCGATCATCCGAAAATTCGACCTTCGACGGTGAAGTGACACTAGCGATGGTAGCACCTCCGTCGACCGATTGAATCCCCTTCTCGATTTGAAAATCTCTCTCGTTTTTTATATCAGTGTCTTCCTCTCGCACTTCATCCTGGTCTGTCTCGCTTCCAGACTCCCCTTCGTCCAGAGAACTCTCGGACAACTCGTCCCATGTCTCCAAGTTCATGTCCACGCTGTTCTCAGATGATGTACTGTTTAAGTCCAACGGCAAAAATGAGCGCCTCATGACTAGATCACCAGGGGTTGGTGCTCGGGACATTCTCTCTCGCGCTTGATAACCAGCTAGTATTGGATCCCATCCTCGCGAGGAATCGCTGGTCGCCCGTGACACCGCTCGTGAACCTTGTTTCGTGGCGCGTGACGCTACACACGTGGGAAGTCCTTCTACATTGTCAGTGGTGAACAAACGTTTGTAGTCGCTAGTGTATTCAGCTGAGTGATCTTCGTGTAAAATGTGCGCGACAATGGCGTCTTTGCGACATAATCGCCTGACCTCTTTTCTGATGGCTTCCACCATTTCTAGGTCTCCAGTTGGTTCCACACCCAATGATTCCAATGTGATGATCGCCTCTCTGAAAATAAGGAAGATAACAGGAATTTTAAAATCTGAATGCCTGAGATTTTCTCTGAGTATAAGGATCGCACAAAACCCCAATTGTGGACCTCGTGTTGCGTACAAGAGTCAGAATTTCTCTAGTAGCACTCATCCAGATATTAGCAGTCTTAAAACGAGTTTCCTTCACAAGGACAAATACACATACAAATAAAATAAAACAAACAAATAAAACTGTTGCAAATCGTAACGCAAAAAGGTTTTCATTTGATGAGGAGTGCCATCTACCAGCTTTGCCGCTCAAAAACATTTTATGGACAAAGAAACTGAATCTTCAAGCAGAGTCTCTCAAAATCAGAGCAAATCCAAGCAGTAAGCATCAAGATAAGATGTAATTCCCTATTTTTATCTTATGTGCGGCATTTCCATAGAGTGTTTTTTCTTATTATTGTCCTTTTCAGTAGATTTACTCTAAGATATAGGTGCAGTAAAAACACTTCCGTTTGGCGGTTACTACAAGTAACTGTCTGGGTTTAACATTTATAATCCAGCGCAGATCACAAACACTTTCTCACCTCTTTACAATTTCTTCGGTCTCAACAACAAGGCGATCTTGAAGGATGTTAAGCAACCGCTCATCTCTCAAGCCCAGCACTGCTACAGCGTTACAGGCCTCGGCGCGTACAGCGGCAACCTTCTCATAACGAATGGCCCACAACAGAACCTCGATAAGCTTTTCATCGACCACTCCAATAGACCCCAAGGCTAAGACAAAAGGGATCAATATCAGTATCTGGGCAACTACCCACTATCCCTCCCCTAACTCAACAACAGTCAATGGACAACAAGTTGAGGTTAATGTTGGGTTAGGGGAGGGGTAGGTGGGCAGTTGCCCAGATACTGATATTGATCCGACCAAAGAAAGGCAAGGGCAAGACTGTGAGTTCGGACTGTCTCAAGCCCTCTAAGACACACATAAGCCTACCTTCACTTCAACCAATTGACCCCTAAGAGTAACTAGCATCTAATTTCTCCCTACATTACGCCCCTGATTCATACATTAAGGTCACGAGAATGAAAGAAATAATCGCCAGCTAAAGAAGCTTTTGATTGTTGAACAAATTCTCCTTTTCAGCACCTTAGAAAATGCATAGAGAACAGCATAGAGAATGTGCATACTGACGTTAAGATGTCTAAGGTTCACACAATGAAATTAAGAGCTCATTGTCAGAGGCGTTTACACCTGTAATTTATGTTACCTTGCCGTGTCATAATAAAATATTACTTATAAAAACATTCTCTCGTACTCACTGATAAACCCAAACAAAAATAACCATTGACAAAAAGAAATTACGAGGACTGAAGTTTGAAAAAAATGGATCTCATTCTATGTACTGAAAATAAAGAGGATGCAACGACCGATTCTAACTGACCCTTCACTCCCAAGATCTAATGGGTAATTCTCCTTGCTGAATGCCATACAATTCACACGATGTTTATTTGGAGAATTCGTTATTGGATCAAGTAATAATCCCCTTATTGATACTTTTCTTTTTCCTCATCGCCTGTCCGCTTAATATGGTATTGATATTGTAAGGAGTAAGTGTTTGAATCACCAATGATCTATACTCTTTAGGAACCTGCTGAGCAAAAGGCAAAAAAATCTCGCCAAGCAATAGGATACGAGAGTTTGTGAACCACTTTACACTCTTGCTGGAAGTTCTTAAATTCGAGATCTTGGATAAAAGGGAAGATAACGCTATCCAACGGATACGGAAGTGTTAACAAAACGTGCTGCGCTATTCCAGATAGCGATTTAAGTAGTAGATAGCGTTATTCAGCCTTCGAACAACTGGGGTCTGATTTCTCACCTTTTATTGTATGTGCTTTGACTTTCCAGCTATTGTCGTCACTCGCCAAACGAAGCAGTGAACTTAGTACACCCTTATCTGTGATATTCAGCTTACCGGCGGCCTGAAGAGCAAAAGATCCAATGACACATACAACTTTACAGTCACATAGCAAGTTCACTACGAAACTTGAGTACCAGGAGAATCTTAAGAGATCTACTAAAGGTGTACATGTACAATGAAAGTTAGGGCGTTCTTGCTCAGGATAATCGAAACCGAGTTACATCGCAATAAACTCAAACAAATCAAGGAACCAAGAAGGATAACATGTGACTATTAATTTTAACGTGAACACTACACTCTCATTCTTTCTACTAGTATTGTGCCCATCAAGTCAAATGACACAAAACTGGCCTCACTAGGTATTCCCTTAAAACCTGCAGCTGGAGAAAAAACTGGATTTTCATCAGTAGCAAATCCACGAGATGGCTTGTCTTCCACAGCTGCTCATGTTAATTTTCATTGCAAGTCGTCTCCATAAATCTGACTCTACAAATAGGTTTTTTTTTTTCATAAAGCTGACACGTTAAAGAAAACAACCTAGAACATTTGCAGAGAGATAAAGTACCCTACAGCCTCAATTAGGGAAATTTAAGTCTCTCACGTATCACATACCATAGCAGCTTCGATTCTAACAGATACATATTCACTCTTAAAGCACTCCTGTAAGGCTGGCAAAAGACGGGCCGTCATTATGCCGAGGTTCGACAACTGCGAGAGAAATAACACAACATGTAATGGAACACGCAAATAAAGCCTTTTTTAATCGTGAGAAGTGAAACAAAAACCAAAGTACAGGGTGTACACAACTGTCAGAATATAGAGAAGTATCTGAAGAAGCTTATGAAAACTAAAAGTAAGCAAATGTGACACGCAAATGAGCAAGTCGCGATTGGTTTTCGAGCAATTTTCAATTGAGCGTTGAAAGTAGTCTAGGATTGCTTTTGATTTGCCCTTAACACTAATACCAGTAACAACTAGAGTCAAAGTGAAATAAATTTACCAGGTAAAAGATAAATTTTGCTTGGAATTACACAGATTAATTCGATTAAATGCCGCTGTTATCAACAATCCAAACAAATGCTACCTTTTTCAAAGCGTCCACTTTAATCCGCTCGTTTCCGGTGAGTATTCTTTCACGCAGTGCATCATGGACAAGCTGTTGTGCAAAAAGGAAAACAGTTATAGATTTTATCAGCTCCAAATGAAAAATAACATTCTGAGTCGTGCCTCCAACGAAACGCAGTGGAAACCAACTTTCCAGAAAAGTTAACGAGAGAACTATCTCAAACGATAATTCAAAGCCCATTCTTGTTCAAAGCAACTTATGTTTCGACATCATGGGCTCAAAGATATGGGAAAAATACTCTTTGCCTGCATTACAAAATAAATCAGAAAATTAGAAACAGTTAGTTTCAAACACGCATTACAAAATAAATCAGAAAATTAGAAACAGTTAGTTTCAAACACGCATTCCTTCATGGAAATCTCAAACTGGGTCTATTGTCTGTTCGACATTGCCTCTCGTGAGTTGATTTCAGATACTGCAGGTCTTGGAAGTATCATAAGGTGATCTCTCTCAATCATACAGCGTTGGCATTTTAGGGGGACAACGGATAAGTATAGCCACAAGAAGATTCAGGGCCATCGTAGAATAAAACAATCAATGTCTTGACAAATTATCACGTGATATTCTTGGGATCTCCTGAGAAATCGTCTCATTAGGAACGCGCTTGGCGAAATGATATCTTGAATGACGTCTTTTTACCAACAGTCCATTTACACGTACATGTACTCTTTAAAACAAATCGATTACGGACACAATGGAAAGTGTTGCGATTACAGAGAACTTTTTTCGTGCCCATGAACTACGCTAAGACGGTTTTGGAAAACTAAAGTTAGCGGGGTATGCGCTTGGCTGGATTTCTGTCCTCGTCCTATGTTTCAAATCGCTCGGCCACCTCCAAACATCATGCAAAGCTTACATTACGTATACCTTGCCATTTCCAGTTCTCCCGAGAGCCTGTGCAGCGGCTGAGCGAACATCTTTGTTCCAGTCATTCCACATCAGATAAGACAGCTTCTGAGTCATATCCTACCAACGAAATTACAGTAGCAATGATTTTATGTTCCGTTTAACAAAGGAAATTAATCTGAATGACACCCTGAACAGGCAGCTACTAATTACAGGGTGTCTTCATGGTACATTTTGCTTTATTCATGCCGCGGTTAATTTTGTAGGAGCAGGAAATGTCCGAATATCATCCGTTTTCCTACAAATTAAGCTCAAGACAAACAACAAGTAAGCATACCAAGGAACGTAATGCCCAAAATACAACTTCTCGAAAATGAGGCTAAAATTTACAGACTTCTAGTAATAGACTATAACAACTTTCTTCTTGAGTTTGCAGATTCCTGATGGCATCTACAGTACCGCTCAGATATACGTTGACCGAAAAACGCACACAAACGCACTACATATATTAATTATATGCATGTGCATCAGCCGTGAATGTTTCCTAGAGAGCTACTCATCAAAGCACATGTACTTGATGACAACTCAGAAAAACGTGAACACTTTGCTTTGATTTTGACAGACCATTTGTGTATCTACTAAATACTATAAAAGGTCATGAAACGCAAGCGAACCTGAACCACAAACAAATTACCCTTGGCGCTCGCGTTCTCCTGTTTGCGTGATTAGCGCTTCCCTAGAAACAAAATCACAATCCCAAAAATATTTGTGGTGTTCATAGTTTCTGAGTTTTCCACTAACATCAGAAATTTTAAATCTATAAACCGCTATAAGAAACCATAAGTTTGTAGATCAACTAATTTAAGCACAGCAAACCTTATTAACTCCTCCCTTTAGTTTCGGAATAACAGCACAAGCTGTTACACGGTCTTTCCAGCTATTGCTGTTTAGCAATTCCGCAATTAATGACTGAACAACATCCTTCAAAAAGGAAAGAAAAAAAAAAGATCTACATGTTATTTACTTCAAAGGTTGTTCGAAGAACAAAGCAATATGTATCCAGTTTATAGTTTTTATCAAATGAAATGGTTAAGTTACAATTTCTCTCTCACGTATACGCGAGTAAATATATGAATAGTCACAGGACCCACAGTTTAGTCTAATACACGTACTATATGCGTTTTACTCGGAAGTTTTAGATCGCTTATCTTTAAGCTGAATAGCACATACAGTACTCTTTTCAGCTCTACCAGATTTATTATTAAAATAGGTACTCCTTCTTCATAACATTTTAATGACTTACAGAAAACACAAAATTTATCCAACAGAATTTGAAGTTTCATAACTAAACGTCTTTACACCAATTATACTCTGAAAACTCACCGACTGCTGACTCAGCTTTGCTAACAAAGTTCCTGCCTTTTCTGTTCTCACAGCGTTATCAGCATGCAGGTGATTTACAAGTTCAACAATGATTTTATCTGTGATTACTCCACTCAGCGCTAAGCACTGTGTCGCTGCCCACTTTTCAGGGGGGCCTCCATGCTCCATGGCCCATAGAAGAATGGATTTAGCCTGATAAGTGATTTATAAGATTTCAATGAATAACAAAATGATCCTCATACAAATGTAGGTAAATTGACAACAACCACAGGGTTCTTATATTAAATTATCAGACCCTATCAACAGCAGACGTTTCAATCACGCCATAACATTGACTGCATAGTACCGATGTGGTGCGGGTAATCTGCCGGGCAGCTGGTGCAGGTAAAAAGCTGTACCCTCTAAAGTGAAATAGAGAATACTACACCGCTGCGCATGGATAAAATTTTTATCCTATGGGTGCATGTATCTCTCAAGAGTGAGCAATGTCTGTATTTATAATGACACCATCTTTTATCTTGTCAAGAATCACATGTATTATTTAATCAAGATCTGATGCCTCTCCAACCCAAGGGTAATCATTCATTGTTTATAGGTAAAGGGTATTTACCTTGTCACTGGGTCTGTTCAGTGAATACAGTGTAATAGAAGCAGCAACCTTGACTTGCGAGTTTCTGTCGTCTAACAGCTTTGTGATAGTCTCTATGAGTTCAGGTTCCAACACTGCTTCCAACGGTGGGCTTGGTGTCTTTGACTTGTCCAGAACAATCCCTACACAATAAAGAAGAGAAAATATATCAATGAAATAAACATTATTTTATATCATTCCTAAGATTCTCCTTCCCAATTTGTAGTATGTGTTATTTTGCACAAGTCTAAATGTTGCAACCTTTCTGCATTTATGTAATTGATAAAAAACTTTGAAAGAACTTAGTTGGCACTTACACCCTGGTACACGCAATTACGAACCTTGTTTCATTTTTTTAGTTCAAACTGGTTGGTTGGTTCAAGTGGGTTAATCCAAATTTTTAAAATTTTAATGACGTTATATGTTTTTTCGCACTTACGAAAAAAAGTGGACTTGGGATTTTAGTTGAACTGGACTTGTATGTTTCCTTTGGCATTTAAAAGTGGTTTTCTAATTGATTTTACAGATTTTGAGGGCTATCAAAACCATCAGAACACTAAAAAAAATATAATATTCTTAGATTTTTGTACTTGGTAAAGGTGTAGCAGTAGATGCTGGTTATTACAGCATCCCTGTGAGACAACACATCTAAAATTTCCACACAGGGGTTGGGACAGCTACACATACATGTAAGATATGCTTACCTAGATGGTGCTTGTCCTTTTTGATCTGTCGCAGCTCAGCGGCCTTACTGCATGCCGACACTGCTGCCAGTCTGACATGGTCATTAATGTCATTCATAGCCTTGATCAGCTCATCTGTCCCACATTTTTGCCAACGACGTTCTAGAAACCACTTGGATCTCCACTCCTCCACTGGAAAAGAAAAAAACAACAACATACATGTATAAGGACAAAAGTATTTTATTAAATTGTCACTAAGGATTTTGCATCTCTAGTGTTCTGATTGGTTCTCAGTTATCAGCTCATATTTCAGATTTTGATGACACATCCTCTGAAGATCAATGTTGAAGATGTACAATTAATAACATTAAAAAATCAGGTTAAATGTAGATCATATGGTTAGATTTAGAGAAACAATTTGCAATTAAAAATCCTCCTTTATGACCTACATAAAACATGCACACTTCCGCATACTTTTTGGAGAACCCAATCACCTTGATTGTGCATGCATCATCAACTGTGCAATTTCTGGAGGTCTTAAAATGATACAAACCAGAAACTACATTTGCACACCGCAGGCAACACTCTATATCCTTACTTTGAAACTTAATATGTAGAATCCAAACTACAAGTAATTGTTATATGTTTCAACAAATTTAAAAACAACTTCTGTTTCTTACCAATCTTGACCACATTTGAGTCATCGCGTATCTTTTTCTTTTCCTTGTAAGCATTACTCAAGGCTTTTACATCAACATTGGAGTCTTTCATGACAGGCACATAATTATCATCCTGAAGAATATACAAAAATTTGAAGCAGAATATTTGAGTTTTCATTGGGTTAATTTATACCCAAACAAAAATTAATTGTGTGGGATATTGATCAAATGAAGCCTTTAAGTGCTACTGTGGTTCTTTCTTTATTAACTCCGAGCTTTCGCCGTTCTACGGCATCATCAGGGAGGACGATAAAATATTTGCGCTATGGTTTTAAACATTGGAGGTGCCACTGTAAATTAGCATAGTGTAAAACTAGCCAGTAGGACGCATGAAAACTAATGGCGTGATAAAATATTCTAAAATATGTGTTAAAACTGTTAATTAAAATAGCTCATTAAAATAAATCATTAAAATAGAAGATCGTTAAGTTCAGTGATTATTTTGACTTGAATGTTATGGCTGTTGTTGCGATGGTGTGTTGTGAGATGTTTTTTTACCGACGAGTTGTCGTTGGTCAAGTGTTCTTTTGTTCGATCATGTAGGAATCGTGTCGTGCTTCCGATGTAATATTCGCCAATTAATAGGTATATCTTTCAGATTAAAATAACTCCAGAAGAATGAAAATATTATAATTTTACCCTTTCTCCCACGAGTGACCAAGACAGAATTTCTCCTTACTATATCAATACAATATCAAACAGACAGTGTTGAGAATAAAGAAAAAATAATAATTAGGGGATTATTAGTTGATCCAAAACAAAATCCTCCAAAACTAACATAAAAAGAATTATATGGCAGACTGAGTAAGGATAATTACTAAATGATATCTTGGGTGAAAGCATCGACAAAATAAAATATTGAGACATTGACTCACTAACATCAACAGGAGAGCAGTTAATAATTTATGTGGCCTGTTTTCTCGGTTTAAAACTTTTCACACCAGTTTGACTTTTCTGTTCCTTTGTGTCAGATTATTAGATAAGATGAACACAAGACAATGGATTACATGTATATAAGCAAACTGATCAAAAAATTCTAAACTTAGAAGACATTTGAACCACAACAGTCATATACCTGTACAACTACTGGTAGTTCCTGCCATCGTTGTAACCCTTTCACCAACTTTTTGGGTTTCTGTTGTGATCTCACTTTTTTCTTTCCAGATGTTCTCTCACTGGAATACCAAACCTTGGATTCCTTGGGATAATTTTCCTGCAATTGCTTCTTGAATTTGAGTTTCTCATTGGTATCAAGCACAATATAACTGGATTCTGAAGGTTTCTTGGAAGGAACAGGTTGTGCACCACCAAGCAATTCCTGCTGAAATATGTTCTCACTTTCGAGTTTCTTGCTCCCTACAGAAGAAGGAAGAGTGAAAGAAGGAGTGTAATGAATTTCTAGGGCTTGCTGTGACTTTTTTGCTTTTGGGTCTTTCTTTGCTGAGGTCTGTGTTTTCTTGTCTGCATCTGGTGCCAGGGAATTGTCTGATGCTACACGTAGCTCATCTTCTTTTTCCTTGATCCTTTTTTCAAAAAAGCTTTTAAGTCTATCCTTGTCATTCCCTGATGACTGTTCATTTATAATCCACTGAGCTGTTGATTTGCTCAAGCAAGCCAGGACAAATTCATCCCATTCATGCTTTGATGGTTGTTTTGATGCCAATTTATCTGTAGACGATAGTGATCCTTTCACATTAGATGTTGCTGAAATGAGCTTTCCTTTATCTGTAACACATGACGCTGGTGTTGTTTTTGATCGTCTTAAGGGTTTAAGTTTCCTGGGTCCCTTCAAGTGGCACAAAGCATGCTTTCTTACAGCACCGCGTGGGTCATGTCGTCCAACAACTCCTACAATGTTTCCTTTAGCATGGCTTAACCCTCCAGTTCTGAATAAAACATTCAATTCATCCTCCCTATAAGGTAATGTATGGGGTGCACGATCATGTAACACATCTTCATTAAAGGCTAGCCCTGAGCTAATTTTCTTCAAATAGGATTTGCTTATGTCCTTGCTACTTTTGTCAGTAACAGGGTGAAACTGAGAAAACACATCTGCAAGTTTGGCTAGGGGCTGTCCCTTAGTTGATACCTTGGGCTGCTGAGGGATTGAGAGCTGTGGTGCTAGTGGAGCTGAAGAGCTATAAGCTAGTCTTGAGGGATATTCTTCAGAAAATGGAGGTGTGCTAATTCTGCTAACATTGAGTCCAGTTTCATCTCTTCCTACATAAGGAATCTGAACCCCTGATGCCACAGCAAAGAATTCTGCTCCATGTGCTTTGGTTGGGGACACACTGCCTGCAACTGAAAGAAAAACTCTTATTTTAACCCTTTGATTCCTAAGATAGACTAGCATCTAATTTCTCCTTACAATATCATCCCTGAATCAAACATTAAGGACACAAGAATAAAGGAAATGATCAATCAACTTTATGAGACTCTCAATAATGTTAAACAAATAGAAAACATGAAATTGGGAGATCCTCGCAGCTAAGAACACTACTGAAACGAGTAGTTGTAAATAGGACCTGAAAAAATTTCAGGCCCATACGGGATTTGAACCCATGACCTCTGCGATACCGGTGCAGCGCTCTACCAATTGAGCTAACAAGCCAACTGGGAGCTGGTCAATGAATTGGGTCCAAATAAACATCCAAGTGAATGAAGATTTTAGATATATGAAAATTCACATATTTGCACTGCGGTGGAAAGATGAAATTGGGAGATCCTCACAGCTAAGAACACTACTGAAACGAGTAGTTGTAAATAGGACCTGAAAAAAATTTCAGGCCCGTACAGGATTTGAACCCATGACCTCTGCGATACCGGTGCAGCACTCTACCAATTGAGCTAACAAGCCAACTGGGAGCTGGTCAATGAATTGGGTTCAAATCCCGTACGGGACTGAAATTTTTTTTCAGGTCCTATTTACAACTACTCGTTTCAGTAGTGTTCTTAGCTGTGAGGATCTCCCAATTTCATCTTTCCACCGCAGTGCAAATATGTGAATTTTCATATATCTAAAATCTTCAAATAGAAAACAGTTAGGAGAATAATTATGCATACTGACGTTAGTGTGTTAAGGGTAAATGCACTATGCTCAAAAGCTGCACTGAGCAAAACCTGGTTGTCTAGCATCATTTTATAATAGTATTAGGACTGAGTTATGTCTAATTCGATCCGCCATCATTTTAATAATTAGTATAATCAGTTGACCCTCATGTTTGAGTCAGTGATTTGTTTAACATGAGTATGATTGAAGACAGAATTAAACAGCACTTAAGGTCTTGTTAACTCTAACTCAAAACTATAACAAATTTGAGAAACTATAAATACCCAATATCTATATCATGAAAATAAGTAAAAAACATAGGACTTTATTCCTGATGAAAATGAACTCTACATACACTGGTCTAAAGACACTGAAGCAGCAAGTACAATACACATACTAATCAAAACTATAACAAAATTCTTAAACATGATTGGTTATCACCTGCCCAATTGTAGCACTATAATAAGATGGTGTACGTGTAATTTGTAATTGTATAGTGTAATAGGACAGTTAAAGGGACAATTAATGCCTCATGCCAGTGTCAGTGGACAGAACACACCATGTGCACATGCTGTTCTCTTAAATCTTGCAGAGTTAACAATTTTTTTTAATAAAAATGTATAACCGATGTCTAGTTGCTGTCTCAAATTTTGTCATAGTTTTGATTAATTGGTAACAGGACTTTGTGTTTCCAATTCTGTCTATATAATCATACTGTCTCATGATTAACAAATTGGACGACCGCAAAGTGTGAGTCCAATTTTGTTAATCACTCATATGAGTACAGACTGAATTGGACTCCACTTCATCCTAATATCATCATTAATCAAAACTATAACAAAACTCTCAGACATGATTGGTTATCATCAGCCTGATTTGAGCCCTAACAGGACAGTGTCCATGTACAGTGTACTTATATATGAAGCTTGTAATTGCATGGACAGTGTTTGCTTTATGTGTGTGTAAGTCAACAACAAGCATCATTTTCACACTCTGTTGTGACTTTCTTTGTTGAGGAAACTAATGTATTTTTAATAAAGTATGACAAATGGCTAGTTTGTTCCACAATTTTTTTTGTATAGTTTTGATCTATTGGTTTCAGGACTTTGTTTTGTTCCCTTCTGTCTAAAATCATAATGGTAATTTAAAAATCACTTAATGTATGATTAGGTACAGATCAAATTAGACTCCATTCAGTCCTATTACCATTACTTTTGGAGCTACTTTTAGTCAATTATGCCTAAACATTTTGTTACTGGTTTGATTATTATCATATATCTTTCTTAAACAAGACACAAATCTCATTTCTCATTCAGCTATTTAATGACTCCCCTCTACCCCAAACCAAGGTTGCACTTTGTTGACAGTAACTACACAACAATTAATAATATTATGAAGGAAGACTGGTATTCTGTCACAGTGTGGTAAACTGTAAATATGACTCGATACTGCACTACACGCAAATACTGACTTCTCTCACAGATTCATAAGTGTAGCATAGCTATGCTACACTTATGAATTATGGTACGAGATCTCTAGTAGTCAGCCTGTTGACATCGATAGATCAACCAACAACAAAACTGAAACCACAGTTATTAACCATAATTATCGGTAACTACAAAACACCGAAATGTGGAACGAGCATAAAGGATGTGCTGCTAATTATTAATTTGTAATCGTACAATATGTAAACAGAGTCGCCAGGTATAACAATCTTGTGGTATTTGTACATGTAGTTTCAGATTTAATCTTTTCGGAGTTTAGAGTATTTTGCAGTTAGTTTAGTTTCATTTAATGAGGTTTCATCTTCTAAAAACTGTCTAGCACAGTAGCTTAAGGCAACAGAAGCACGTATGTCGTATCCGTTAACTCGGGTCACAAAGCATACAACATTTGGAGGCTTAAAATTGTAAAACTAAGAAATAGCTCCTACATAATGGCAGAAATGATAACTGTCTAGGTTAGTGAAATTCTTATAGTTCGCATTAATGTGAAGAATTTCTCATCCCCTAAAATCAGTCAACACCGCATGTGATAGATTTATCTGTAATTATCTGCAATTGCGGCGAAATTATTTCTAAGATAGTAAACCACAACCTTGAACAACAAAATAGAAAACTCCATGTAATACACAAACGCTCACAGGTAATGTATGTTTTAACGCTTAAAGATACAAGAATGTTTCTACCATTAAAACAAACCGTATCATTAAACTAAAATTGGGTACCTGTGTTGTAAGGAGTCGAAAAGCCACCGGGTGTTGTGACATTCGCCATTTTGTCCGTTCTCTCTATTCCTTGTTGCTAAGCAACACAACGCATCTATCCTTTGTACAGCAGATTTTCACGGTACTAACTCTATTAAGGAGTAAGATCTTAGAGCGAATTACAGCTGTAGGGATTTTTTAAAATCTTCTTTTTTATTTTCAAAATCAGTTTTCCCACTTACCTGAAAATATCAGTAACAATTTGGAGAAATTGTTAAATTCGGAGAGACACGAACAACAACTCACTTACCGGTATGACTTATTTATGCCGTCACGCATCAGCATACACGTACATGGAAGACTAGCCACCCCCTGCCTCGTTTAAAATTGCTTGCGGGAAAAAAAAAACACTGCAATTCGGTGCATAAATATTTTATTCCAATTTCTTGACATTTTAAAATCATGGTATGTTGCTAACGTTAATATTAGGTGCTTTATTCGTGGCCGTGTTACATTTCTTCGACTTACTCATATTACGATAGTTTTCAAGATGGTCTACAAGTGTTTGGTGAAGGAATGGAGAAATGGAGAAAATGGTTGCCTTGTAAATTTTAATATATTAAATTTCCATACATTATTTCAATTACAATTGGCGGAAGTAAAAAGGCTGAACCAAAGCGTATACATCGTTTACAACAGTTACACCCTCTTACACATTGCTATCCAATTACCGTTCGCTTTTCGTATAGATTATATATTAAACACTATAACATTGAGTGCTCTTCTACAAGATAAATAATTTTAAAATACCGCTGAGCTTGCGATTATTTGCTTAAAAATTTTTTGTCTGAAAGCGTATTCCTCAAGTAATGCAACAGCACAATACCCAGAGGAAAGGGTAAACTAACCTGACCGCACTACTACTCACAAAGAAAAATTAATGATCGTAATGATATTTTACAGGGAGTTAAATACCAAAATTTCAACAAATACAGCAATAAAAGTGGTCAAACATAAGACTGACCGACCTAGAATGACTTAATATTCCCGCGAAACGCTTAAATAATCCGAAACTTCCATGATGCCACGCGAACCTCTTCGACGTGCCATTAGAATATTAATTTCTGACTAATTCGTTCCCATGTCACTTAAAAGTCAGATATTACATTTATGCTGGGAAGGTGTTATGTTCACCGTGCTGATCTCATTCGATGCATGAAGCACAAAATAGCCACTACCACGCTTAACATAAAAAAAAATAAATAAATAAATAACTTTATTTAAGTGTCAGTGTATTTTAGCACTGCTGTGCTAATTGGGGACACTGTAAATAAGGAAACAAATATCGTAAATGAACAGAAACTCGTTAAAAATCCCAACTGGTAGGAGGCAGACCAGTTGGCTATTTACAAAGCGTGCAGGAGTTGAATTCGGGGCCACCGAAGACAAATCCGTCCAGTGGCAGGGAGGAGGACTTGAACCCGGGACCTCCGGCTTACAAGTGCAGCGCCCTAACCACTAGGCTACGCTCGCACACATGCGCAGATGCTATTTCCGCTGGTCTCGTTCGACGCATGAAGCACAAAATAGCCACTACCATGCTAAACCTGCGCAGATGCTGTTTCCGTTGACCTCTTTCGATAAATAACCAAATAACCAAATAAACAAATAACCGCTATCAAAACAAGAAAGGCAGGAATCAGGATCATTATCAACAGATTTCCATCTGTCGCAACGTGTTTAACAGGGGAGTGGTTTGTCCTGTTTGATCCTGTAGTTGAAGGCAGTGTCGATGGCGGTACACCCGTAGACCCTGAAATTGTAAGATAATGAGGTAAACTCAGTGAACGATCATAAAATGTGATGTTAGACATTTTTCCCTTGTGCGGTGTAACTGAGTTGGCTAGTTTGGACTATACGCCAATCGCGTACTATTAATGTGACAAGGCATTTCCCAGGATGAAACCGAACCCTTGTGCCAGCAGGCTGCTAGACAAGTAGCAGAGTTTTGAGCTAGAATGGAAGTTGGCTCAAATTCTTGCTATAACATTAAAACTTTTGCATGGATCGAACTAAGTTGTAGTCTGAGTGATATAGAAAACACGGATATACTGCCTGCGCACGCGAAAACGCAAGTGACCAGATGGTTTCAGTATGCAGCTAATTGGTTGAAAAGGTGGCACAAGATCTCTTGTCCAATCACAGAGCGTAGCGGCGCCAACTCCTTGTAATCCCGAATTATCATCACTTTGTCGGGTAATTTGGCGCATTTTGCTGGCTGAAACAGAGATTTTGGCGGGCTAAGTTGTATTTAAGCCCGCTCGCACGCTTGCTTAATTATTGGTACTGCTTCGTTGTCAATTCTTTCAGTTTTATTATCTCAATGCCTTCAAAAGTAATAAAAATAGTAATATAATTTATGTTCTTGGGCCTCAAATGTTTTGGGCCCCTCACGAGGTCATTTTAGTCCCCTCCCCTTTCCCCCGCCACCCCAAGCGGCTCAAGTCGGAAAATGGCTCTGAGTCAAACCCAGGCCCAAAACATATCATAATGCCCGCAAACATAAACTCCATTGTTGTTTTATTTTCGACACTCAGTCGAAAGTTGCTCGATAAGGGCATCAACGATGGAATCTAAGGTAAATTCGAAGGATTCCAGAGGAAAGAAGTCTGCGCTAAAGATTAATTGGTACTGTCCATCAATTAAAAGTTAGAACAACAATTATCTGATTTACTGTACACAAAGATCTTAATGGAGTACACTCGTGTCGTTCCCATGCTTCCTCTGACATTCCCAGTTCTCAAGTCAACCTTGATATTAAACTTTAATCCATCGTCACTCTCCATGACTTCCGAGAGAATTAGCGCCCCTCGCTTTACTTGTAATCGGTTCAAGAAATCGCCGCCATTCTCTTTAATGCAATCGCCAGTGTCACAGTAGGCAAGCTTGCTGCCGTGAGAATTTTCAATGAAAATGCTTTTGACATTTTTCCATGGTAACATATCTTGGAACACTTTCGTAAGGTTCAAATCTGTCCCTTTCTCAGCCGTGATACCTTAAAAAGAAAAGGAAAATGTTTCTTTTAAACGGGAGTAAGACAATGTGTGTATCGGTGTCTGGCCAGAAGGCTTGTGATTATTCCAAGGTTTTGGCCGCAATTTACTTCAGTTTTTAAGTCCAACAAGTCCAGTCACCGTAAAGCTTCAACTCTCAGAAGTGATTTACAAGCAACTTCTCCCCAAAATATCCATACATTACTCAGTAAACAGGTAATAAGAATACTCAAATTTATCAGGTACGAGTTGTTCTTTTGATTGAACACAAAATTATCCTAACTTATTGACAAGGAAATGTATGACAGCTAGAGGGGAGAATTTACGATCAGATCTTGGGAGTTACAGGTTTGCATGCTTTTTTTCTCCTTACATAAGCTTATTGATTGTGCTGTTTTTGAATCAAAATATAAGGGTTTTAATTGACAGTTGTGGTGACAGTTGTACGACAGCCACTTGTTGTCATCACATATACATTGTCGCGGAATAATCGAAACTTGCGTTTATGATAAGCTGGACTCCTCGCACATTTTGATGGCTTCTCATTGAAGATGTAGTGGAGCAGAGAGGCAGCATTTTGCCTCTTTTTAAATGAATAAAAGAGCGGAGATTCCGTGCTAACATGTAGCAAGAATATTAGTGACTTTTTTGGTCTTATCACCTTTCGACGCTATCTGTGATTTATTTTTAAACATCAGTGATACACTCGGCTGCACCTCGCGTGCCACTTTTTTGTTTTTGCTTCATTTTGACGTCATCTGAAATCTGTTACTAAGCTAACGCTTGGCAACATAAAATCTATTTATGTTACAGTCTTTACATGATAACAAAGCAAAAATATTGTTAATGGTAGCATGTTCTATGCGTCTTTCCTCCAAAAGAGGAAGACAAAAACATCAACATTGGAGTTTCCAAATCGGAAAAGAAATTAGAAGCGTGAGCGAGAAGTCAGCAAAATGTATATATAGAAATCGTTCATGAGCAGCTTGAAGCAATGAACCGAAAAATGACAATAAGGTATTGGGCCGTGAAACGGCTGTTAAATCAAAAGAGTATAATATCTTGGTTAAATAATCGAGTGTTGTAAGAATCATTCAAAATGTCAAGGGTTATTCAGCTCATCATATAATGCTAAACAGACGCACAGCCACATGAGATCTATTTGTAAACAAGGTAGACCTTGAATACGATGATTAACATCAAGGAAAGTCATATGTAACATTGAAAAAATATACAATATAACTTTTCTCGCGAGAAGCAGTAAAGCTGAACTTACACTCAATAAAGTTGATCTTCACTTCTTTATAAGCCACAGAATCTTTATAGTGGACTTTACACAGCAATCGGCTGTGTTTGTTTGTGTTGTCCTTTGCCGAAGCTTTCACTGTCACTGCCACCATTGAGACGTTCTCCACAGTGATGCCGTTTGACAACAATTTTTCCTTGATCAAACACTCTTGCCGTTTTCCACAGTACGTGAAACAACTCCATTGCTTTTCTTCCGCATTATAAACCTTCCATTCGACCTCATGAACTCCATTTGGCTTCAGTAAAGTTCCACAGGTTAAAGTTTCAGGCTTCTTGAAGCAAACGTCAACTGTTATGGTTCCTAGAGGCAAAGAAAGCCACACCATAAACAAAAAGAAAGAATCTGTCCCATTATTTTCTTTTGCTGGAACCTAACAATGACTAAAAAAACTAACAAAGAGTTTTATGTGGCTCGATAAGCTGGAAACCACTCCGCTTCGCGTCATGGTTTCCTACGCTTATCTCGTGTTCTCCAACCTCCCGCGTGTTTACATCAGGCTATGTAAACACAGAAACCATTTTAAATTTCTTCATTATCTCATTTTCCGGAAGACCAACCTTTTCACTAGAGCACTTTCCATTTCAGCCTAGGTTTGTGGATTTCGACATTTTTCTCAACGCAAAAAAAATGTTTATTCTTCAAAGTTCAATGATCGTCTAATACTCCAAAAGGCGGGATTCTAACCATTCAATATTTAACGCTGATAGATTTCGAATCTTTTCTTAGCACAAAAGACTGTTTATTTTTTTTTAATTAAGTTTTCTAAAAGACAAAGACGGGATTTTAACCGATGAATATTTAACGATTCGCAAATACATAATACCAAGAACCGTATATGCATAAATGCAACAACTCAAAAATATCATTTTACCTCAAGAATATGCCTTGGTCAGGGTGTGAAAAACTGTAAGCATATGTCATAACAGTCTATGATCACTCAATTAGTAAGTGTGTATCTTCTTTCATTCTATTTGTCCATCTTTCAATTATTCTTGTTCATTATTGTTTCGCATCGCCGTTGATGTCAAGATAATACTACGCAATCATGAAAAGTCAAATACATTTCTTCCAATCTCACGTTGTCCCCTTTCATTGAGGAAAGGCAGACAAATATATCAATGCGTTATCAAAAAATGCCATAAAGTATAATTTTCTTTTTTTCAACTGCGAGAAGAAATCGAAACCTACATTCGCAAACATGAACTTCGCTAAACGGCGATTATGATTTCGAGGCTCTGGCACCATAAATTACCAATGCGCTAGGCAAAACGACAATGATAAAACAATGGAGGCGGAGTGCTGCTTCAGTACAAGAGTGATAACTTGAAAAGGGCAATTGATCCTTGTGCAGGAGGGGGAGATTAAGGCATAATCAAGTTCCTGATACTGTGATCTAAATATACTTCCCTTGTAATGAATTATGAAGAAATACTTACGTCTGAAGACAGTTAGGATTAATATCATCCATACGAAACTTTTATCAGGATCATTCATGTCTGAAGAATTTCGAATAACTTTGCTAACCGACCAGCACTTTATTTTTAACTGAAGATTCTGACTTGGTTCTTCTGTTAATATACAGCTCTCAAAGGAACGTCAAACCCCTTCATAATCGAAAATGAAATTGGAAGCGGAATTGCGAAGTCAGCAAAAAGTATATAAAGAAATTATTCCTTAGCCGAAGGTGAACGTGTACAAAGAAAAAAGAAAAATTATAAAGTCTATATAACAAGGCACTAAACTACATGGCATCCTTCTTATTTTGACAAAAGGTAAAACAACCAGAGGTAATCAGCTACATTTTTCGACATATGCTCAGGCAGTGTTTTTGATTTCCTTATATTCCCGATACGATATCGTTTTCATTTTCCCAAGGTTAAGCATTTGTTGACGTATCTCAGGCAGTGTTTTTGATTTCGTAATATTCCCGATATCGTTTTCATTTTCCGAAAAGGTAAAAAAAAACCAGAGGGTATTGGCTACATTTTTCAACATATCCTCATGCAGTAGTTTTGATATCCTAATATTCTCGATACTGTTTTCATTTTCACAAAAGGTAAAACAACCAGCGTTAACTGGCTACATTTTTCGACATAGTCAAGCAGTGTGTTTGATTTCGCAAAAATCACTCACGCGTGAATTTATACGTAGGAAATAATGTTCGAGTCACAGGGATTTTATCTTGGTCCATATGTTGTGTTAGAGAAAGTGTATATAAACACGGTACCCAAGAGCTAATATCAGCATGCATCAGACAAACTTTCATAGTTTGTAGCCCAATATGTCCTGATAATTGTGGTGTAGCTTTTTTGTGAAAATGTATTTTAGTTTTCGAGAAATTATTTTTTCGTTCGACCGCTCAAATATGCAAATGTAACGAATATACTTGGCCTCCGGTATTTCTGTCAACATAATCCTTTGTTTTATCATCTAAACTTAATCAGAAACCACAAAACCGTAGAAGAAATCATCCAAGACCGAAAAACCGAAAAAATTAGATCAAAACCGATACCGCATGCAAAACTGTCAAAGCCAATACATTTTCACATCCCAGTTATTAAAACTCTGATCGATCTGACACAGTGGTGACAAGTGGAGCATACTGAGTAAACTAATCTAATTTTATTACAGGATTTATGAATGCCATGGACTTGGCATTCGTATCTCCTAGTATCTGCTTAAATTAACAGCTGCTCCGTCGAGGACCTCGAGCGTGCTCTCTGCGGATTCAGCAGCTGGTAATGGAGCCTAGTCAAATTAAGGAAATTCGCACAAAAGTCCTCTATAGGATTGCAATTTTGCAGTCGCAAAAACCTAAAAAAAAAGAAAAACCGCTTTTTGGTGCTCTTTTAACCGTGTACCAAACTGGCGTTTGGTCTGTCCGATGTATTCGTTGTCGCAGTCATTGCAAGGAATAGAATAAATGGCGTCGGTTCGTTGTTCTTTCGTGACAGGATCCTTAGGTTTGGCGAAAATATGCCCCAAAGTCTGAAAAGGTTTTTGAGCAACTTTAACGTTGTGGCTATTCAAAATTCTCTTGATGGGTTCAGTAACACCCTGTATATAAGGAATAACAGCAAAACCAGTCGCTGGTTCCCTTTCATCGAGAGCGTTACTATTTGTAACTGGTTTTTGGCAGTTACGGAGAAAAGTTTTTGTATAGCCATTTGCCTTGAGGACATTGGAAACATATTTCCTCTCCTCAGCCTTCTTTCTTTGCAAAAAGGAAAATTCAGCTTTATCGGAGCATACTTGCCTAACCAACCATACAATTGGGTGGGATAATTCTAAAATTATCACCACTAATCTGCGTTACCACCAGCGCCTTTGTTTGGAGGCATGGCACATTAACTCCGCCCACGCTCCTTTAAATCGTGACGATGGCGGTCTGCTTCCTGACGCCTATTTACACCTCGTCAGAAAAAAAGGCCGCTAATTAGTGATCATATAAAAGGACCTCTTGTTGCAGCGTTTAGATCACCCCTGATGAAGGCACTAGACAGGAGTGTCGAAACGTTGGGTCTATGAATTGTAACTTCTTCGGTTACATTCATTAAATCTGCAAACCAGTGTAGCTTCAAACTATGTATTATGCTTTGGAACTCAGTCAGGTTCACTCTACCATCTGTTTTGTGAGCGCTAATGCCTTGAAAAAGATGGGAAATGGAAGATAAAAGGTAAGCGCGAATATTTCAGTCATTCTCAACAACAAATGTTACGAGAAACCAGCTTTCTTGAACCACGCTATCCTGACATATTTATTCCTAACTGTGGTACGAAAGAAACGGCACGGAGCGGCAATAAAATTGTAAGATAAAAACTCTTAACTCTTGCATGGGGGTATGCTACCATGTAGCCTCGATGAAAGTTATTTCAGTTAATTCATGTCGGTCTATCATCTTTTCTGGCTTAACCTATCAGTCTTTTAGCCCTATAACTCTCAAGATCTGATTGGTTATTCTCCTATGAGACAACTTTTCAATGTTTTAGGAATGAGTTACGAGGATTTGGTGTTAGATCAAGACAACAACTTCTACCTGATAACTTTGAGTATTCTCAGTACCTCTGCTGGATGATACATGGATATAATAGGGAGAAGTTACATGTTGATCACTTCCGAGAGTTAAAGGGTGAAAAAAAAGGACGGAAAGAGCATAAGGAGACCAGTCATTCTTCATTGCCTGAGGGGGGGAGGGGATCAAAAGATTTTGAGGAGTATCACATGGTTTTCAGGGGGAGCGGAAGGGGATCAGTTGTCACCAATAGAGTATGAGGGGGGTATAGAAAATTGACAGGCATAAAAATTTTACAGAGCCTTTTGAGGGATCAGGTTAATTTTACCGTTAAACAGTCAAACTCCTCCGACCCCCATGCTCTCCCCCCTTCGTAAATATTGACCGGTCCTTAAGATGACAGGTTTTTTGTGGAAGAACAACAAATTAAACAGTTGAGCATCGAAACTAACAAATGCCAGTAGTTTACGGGTTAAAAAAATCAGAAAAAGCCGAAATTATAGGAGAAGCGGGGGGAGGGAGGGTTGGAAGATATTAGGGAATATTACATGGTTTTCGGGGGAAGCAGAGGGGGGATCAGCTGTCGTCAATAGAGTATAAGGAGGGGGGTATAGAAAATTGACTGCCTGTTAACTGCCGATGAGGTAGATGGGGGGGCATAAGAATTTTACAAAGCCTTATGGGAGATCAGGTAAATTTTACTGTTACACAACCAAAATTATCCGACCCCCATCCTCTCCCCCCTTCGTAAATATTGACCGATCCTTACGATGATGTTTTAGATATATACACATATATCTTTAGTGTTGTTACATGGTACGCTGCCTTGTTATCTCAAAAGCATAAAATCACAGGCGTTCAACTTACAATAAACAAAGTTGATTGTCACTTCGTGGGGTAGGGGCGTGTGGCCCTCGAAATCAACTCCACAGTGTAATCGGCTCTGATTGTCTGTACTGGTCTTTGATGATACTTGAAGAGTTATGGTGGCATTTAGAACTTTCAAAACTCTGATTCCACTAGATAATAGTGGTCTCTCTATCTCACACCTTATTTTCCCTGTTACAGTATCCGAACAGAGTCCAAATACCCCATCTCGGGTCATATGCTTTCCACTGGACAAAGTCAACCGCTCCATGTGCCCCTTTAAGAACCTTGCATGTTACGTTGAAGGAAGTATCATAACAAAACTCCTTTGTTTTATTTCCTAAATGTAACAGAAATTATATCAGTTTAAAGAAGACGTTCCAACGCGAAAAGGATACAAAAGAAAATTGACCTCTTTTATTTGCCACAGTCCCAGGTACATGGGTGATAGATAATGCAATTTCAAAGTTTCAATTCACCCTTTACACCCTAATATCAGCGGATATATTCTCCATACTGTTCTCAATTTATTCTCTAGGTTGCTGACAAGCTATCGCTCTCCTCTGATCACGCTGGTATGAAAAATATTTCAGGTGAAGTTACCATATTTTGTCTGTGAATTAGATAGATAGATAGTTTATTATCAAGAACCTTGCAGCCATAGGCTGAATTACGTTTGATTTACAATAAAATATATACTACAAAAAATACATGGCTAAGAAGAACTAATTAAAAAGACAAAAATATATAATTAAGAGAAAAACAATATTACATCATTGCTTTATGGACATAGTGATGGATAAAACTATTTCGAGTACGAATGGTGTGGAGGCGCCGTGTAGTAAAAGAGTGCTGACTCCTTAAATTGACTTCGCACTCATTCTTGGGAGGTAGTAAGCTATAGAGCTTGTGCGAGGGATTAGACAGGATGGAATTAAAAAGCTTATCACATAAGAACTCGCGGCGGTTGTGTAAGGGAACTAGACCAGTCAAAAGAAGCGCCTCATTGTACGAACAATCTGGATAGATAATACGTAGAGCTCGCCTTTGACATCTCTCAAGATCTACTGAAAGGTATTGCGGGAGGTTATGATGATAAACAGGGCATGCATATTCAGTGACAGGCCTAATACAAGTCAAATAGAAGAGCAAAAGTTCCTCCGACTTGACCTGTGCACGCTTAAGCTGACGCAAAAAATACAGGCGCTTGTTTACTTTCTTTACAACTTCGGATACGTGATTATTCCACGTAAGATCGCAAGATATCTGCAAACCTAAGATCTTTGCTTGCTCTACACACTCTAAGTCCTGATCATTAACCTTAATTGGATCAAAGTTCTTTCTAGAGTGACTGAATGTTATGCGAAGTTCCTTGCACTTGGTTTCGTTTAATTGGAACTTGTCAGCAGAAGCTTGCGTCGCGAGTTCGTCAACCGCTTGTTGGACTCTGCTGACCTCAGACTTCATGACTGTTTCAGAAATAGTGGAGTCATCGACATATTTCCACATGTCTGTACCCGGGATGATGAGGTCGTTTATCATAATAGTAAATAACCAGGGGCCAAGTTTTGTGCCCTGTGGGACCCCTGATGGGATGGCCCCCCACTCCGAGTAACAGTCCTGACTAAGTTTAACACGCTGTCGGCGACAGGACAGAAAGTCCACTATCCAGTCAATTATTCCGCTTGGAAGATCGTATGAAATGAGCTTCTGAACTAGGATCTGATGGTCAATAAGGTCAAACGCCTTGCGGAAGTCAAAGAGGATGGTTCTGACAGTTGCACCGTTCCCATCCGTAGCACTAAGCCATGAGTGGACCATGCTTATTAGTGCTTGTGTCGTACTGGAACCTGGCACAGTCCCAAACTGCCGTACATCCACTTTCGCCAACACAACAGGCTTGAGGAAACTCTCCACGACGAAATCTTCAGCAACCTTAGAAAGCACGGGAGTTAGGGATATTGGACGTAGATGTTTGTTTACATCGTGTATTGGATTCTGCTTTGGTACTGGAGTGATGTTAGCGTCCTTCCAAGACTGAGGCAACCGTGCTTCCTTAAACGAACAGTTAAGGATATCAGTCACAGGCAGTGCTAGTAAATCTGCATTCTCTTTAAGAAGCCAACCGGGGATTCCGTCCGGACCGGTTGCCTTAGTTGGATTTAAGGCGGATAGCTTCTTTAAAACAGAGAATTCTGATACCTGGAAAGCACTCTCCTGGTCAGAGTTGGTTGAGGTGTTAGGTGAAAGGGGGTGAAGACGCGCATAGGAGCCAAGAACGCCTGGTTGATGGTGTTAGCAATGTCTATCGTGCTTGGAGGCGAACCTCCCCTGACCACAATCAATATGTTGGTAGAGGGTAGCTGGATTAACGCCTCTAGAAGCTGCGTCTGACGTACCACTGAGCTTCTTTACCTCACGCCACCAAACTGCGGGTTTACAGTCCTTCAGATGTTCAACCTTGGAGTTATAGAACTTTGCACGGCATGCTTTCCTCTCACGATTAACGCGATTTCGTAGGGTGCGGTACTGCTCCTGGTCGCCTTGAGCGAGGGCCTTTTGGCGGCTGTGGATGAGACCCTTCAATTGTTGATTGACCCAGGGCGGCTCGTTGGTTTGTACCGACTTAGACTTCAGGGGAAGGAGAATGTCCATTCCGGTCTTAACTATAGTCTCCAGCATTTCCACTTTGCCCTTGCAAGAATCTTTACTATCGATAAGTGTCTTAACGTCCACATTTCCAAGATACGTGCGCATAGCCATACGCGTTGTAGGCCGTAAGTCCCTCGATTTCACGATAAGTTTAGTTCTTGGTTGTTGGGAACGCACGAGCGGCTGAACTTCCACAGAGAAATGATCGGACAAACCGAGTGCAGGGCGCTGGATCGGAGGGGCATAGAACTCCTTCACATTTGTTAACACCGGATCTAAGGTATTTCTGCCGCGAGTTGGAAAGGTAACGATTTGCTTCAAATTAAAGCCGTTACTAAGGCGCGAAGATTTCTTTAACAGAGTTTTATTGAAGTCACCAAGTAAAATTATCCCGCAGCCAGGAAAGCGAGCCTCAACCAAAGATAAACAGTTATACAAATAATCCAGCATAGGCGAATCCGCGGCGCTCGGAGAATGATAAACAACTCCAACAATAATGCTGGTAATGCCCCTTGGGAGACGCGAAGGCCGTATTTGAGTCCAAACAACTTCAAACTTCCTATCCATAATGTCCTCAATGATCTTGAATTGGATAGACTCTTTAATGTACAGACACACTCCCCCATGCACTGCTTCAGTTCGATCTCGGCGGATCACGTTATAGCCAGAAATAGCGACAATATTATTGTCAATGTGGTCTTTGAGCCAAGTCTCTGTTATGCATACAAGGTCGAAATCTGCATAATGGACGACTTCACGGACTTCATCTATTTTCGGCGCCAGTGACATGACGTTGGAGAGAAAGAACGACGGCATGAATAGCTTTGATGACTTTGCAGGTTCGGCTTTAGATGGTGTAGGTGGAATAGCGAGAAGGTTGGCGTTATTACAGTATTTGTGACTGGACTTCAAACGGTAGGGGCCATGGTTGGCTGACCTTGGTGAAATAACTGCAATATGGCGGTGACGATAAACTTCTCGCTCCTTCACTTGTCGTCCAGCTCTGGTACCGCGATAAGATGGCCATTTCCCACCATGAAATCGAAGAAAACCAAAAGAGGGGCGAACCTGGACCATTTTGCGGCAGCAGATATAACATTTAAGGCAATAAAATTCAAAAATTACGGAAGCAGATGAGACCTCGTGCTGCCTTGAAAGGCGCATACATTCATCAATTACTGAATACATCTTGTAACTTGTAACAGATAGAATTCCATGAGCTACATCATTGCAGTCGCTGCGCACTGGACAAAATCTGTGAAATTTTCAGTTTCGATCGCTGGAGAATAACTTAACTAGTTTTGAAACATGTGGCCTAACACCTTTTCCTGGACAAAAAATTAAAGAAAACACTTTTTTCGACGGGAAGTCGAGTGGACCGCTCTAAGGTAAAACATCCAGAGGTAATCAGCTACATTTCCCGATATATCCTCAGGCAGCGTTTTTGATTTCTTGATATTCCTGATATATTATATTTTGTCCTCAAAACAACACACATAAAGGTGTGTATAAATACATACCTTTTCATGTGTTACCCACACACACCTTGGTAAGCTTTCTGAACACACCCCTACGTGTTCCCACAACACACCTTAGGTTGTGTTTCACGCTTGTCCTAAATTTGACACACCTTAAGAAGTGTTCTGCAGAAAGATATGTTTTGTCACACTTCTAAATGTGTAACAAAGCACACCTTTAGTTGTATTTTCAGAACACACCTTTCCAGACACACAAACTTACAACATTTACATACATTCACATAATTATTAACACAAAACACCAGCAGTGGTCCACAAATGGTTCATTGATCTTTTGAAAACAATTTATATACAACAGTTTAAATAACTATTCCTGATAACTTCACAAAATTTTGACTTGTACTTGTGTTACAGTATCTTCTTTGAGAAAGCAATGATCATTCTTAGAACATTTTAGAAGAAAGTCAATATCTCCATTGTAAAACACTATTGATTACAGCTTGTCTAACACTCATGTATGTTTACCCAACTGCTTTGCACACTTCCGTTACTTCGAAACGTGCGGGGCAAAACATTGTTCATTTACAAAACGTCTTATGCTAGACAAACAAAGCAAAACCATTAAATTTGGAGAAGTGTGAGTGTGGAAGCAACAACATCAAATTGTTCATGTTTCCATTTGAAACTCAACATTGCCTTTGAGTGTTAAGTTGAAGAGGAGATCTGGTGACGGAAAACATGAAGCCATTCAGTAAAATCTTTAGAGAAATTTAACTTGATATCTTAAGCGACGATTGCTGGGCGTCGCCGTCCTTACTGCTCAAGGCTTCCAATGGAGTCAGATGCTAAATAAGGAACCAGTCCTCCAACAAGGGCTATGTGGTCCCGTCCTCTTCTCTCCCTCCCATCCCACCTAAAAAAGTTGATTGAGACCTTAGGTAGGGTAGGAAGGGAAAGAGATGACAGGGACAATGCACAACGAACCTCTTCATCTGCCATACATTTCTCGCTCGAGGGCTTAACTGTGGACCTATGCGCCAGGTTCTTTTTAAGGCTTCACGGTCCATTCCATCTAAGACGCCACCAAATAAAAATTACAGGAACCAAAACTGCAAGAAAAATGGTAACTATTGCACGAACAATGCATTGGGTTGTAGATGCTGCGGCGCTCTTGGATGGAGATCCTACAATGCTCTTGGTTGGATGGCCGGCAAAGCTCTCAGATGGAGATCCCGTAGGTCCGGAAGAGGAGGAACCCGGGCTGGAATTGGCTGTTCCTGTGATGGGCAAGGCAGTGGGTGTAAGACTATTTTGGCCTGCAAGAAAATAAATTAAAGGGGTAAAACCGAGAGTGGAAGAACCCAGTCTTGATGGCGTGCCTATTTGAGAATGATCCTTATAGCAGTAACATGACACTAATAGTGTAATAGTGCTTGTCAATAATACGCATCTTAACATTCAATAAAGTGAATCGATTACCTTGAGAACTGTTCACGAGGACCTTTATGGTGTAAAGACGCGTTGACGTAGCCGAGACTGTCTTCGCCTTCATCCTAAGACCGCTATCACTTTCCTCAATTCCAGTCAGGAACAGTGACCCACTTTGGACTGTCGTTCTGTTCCAGAGAACAGAAAACGGACTGCTCTTGTTTCTTACGCAAACTTTGCTTTTACAATAGGCAAACTCGATTCCTTCAATGTCGAAGAGGCGAGCGTCGTCAACTTCTTTCCAAGGTATTATGCTTTCTAAGAACTTAGACAGGTTCACTTCACCATCTGTTTTGTGAGCAGTGATGCCTTGAAAAAGATGAAAAATGGAAGATAAAAGGTAAGCGCGAATATTTTATTTTCAACAACAAATGTTACGAGAAACCAGCTTTCTTGAACCACGCTATCCTGAACTATTTATTCCTGTGGTACGAAAGAAACGACACGGAGCGGCAATAAAATTGTATGATTAAAAACTCTTAACTCTTGCATGGGGGTATGCTACCATGTAGCCTCAATGAAAGTTATTTCAGTTAATTCACGTCGGTCTATCTTCTTTCCTGGCTTAACCTATCAGTCTTTAAACCCTTTAACTCACAAGATCTGATTGTTTATTCTCCCCTCTTGCTGCTACACATTACCTTGGGAATGAGTTACGAGAATTTGGTGTTAAATGAAGATAACGACTTCTACCTGATAAAGGGGTAAGTTTCTAAAGAAACTGTGGTGCTGCGTCGGTGGGAGAGTGTAACAGGTAATTTAGTGTTAACAACTGAGTTGAAAACATAAATTAGCCACCGTAAAGGGCAAAAAAGCTGACGTTTCGAGCGTTAGCCCTTCGCCAGAGCGATTATCGAAGGGTTAACGCTTGAAACGTCAACTTTTTTACCCTTTAAGGTGGATAATTTACTTTTTCAACTCAGTTGTTAACACTAAATTAACTTCTACCTGATAAGTTTGAGTATTCTCAATACCCCTATGCTGGTTAATGTATCGATATTATAGGGAGATCAGTTACACGTTAATCACATCTGGTCATTGCGCAGAATGCCGCGACATATCCGGAACTTTTAAGGACTCACCAGCGGTAAATTTGAAACTGGATTGGCGAAACGCACGCCACACAATAGAGAAAATGGCCCGAAAATCACGAGAGGGGTACATGTTTTTTCTTGTTTTCACTAAAATCGCTTTGAATAAACCACTTGTACCATATGGATTTCGAAGAAGAGACATTAGAGAGGTCCCCCTGTACTTTCTTTGCTGTTGCTTTAGGACGTCCAGAAGACATATCAAAACGGGTATAAAAACTCGCCTTTTTTACATATTGCTAGTATGGGAAACAGCCCTTTACCTACTTATGGACATAATTCTGTGAAAGAAACTCTTTTGCTGTTTTACCATACGGTGATTTTAACTTGATTGTTAGGGAAACCTTATGAAAAATTTTGGGAGATTGCATAGAGTGGAAGTTATATTAAACCGTGATTTTCTGGAAATGTCGCCCATTGCCTCGGCTTTTCCGCTAGCTTTGTCTTCCATGGGCTCCGGGGGGTCCCTTTTTAAAACTTCCGCGGGTATGTTAATTTTCTCTAGCTCCGCCTCCTCTAACAATGCGGCACGCGATCGGTTATTTGTGCTGAAGTTGATCAAGAGGCGCTAAAATAAACGGTTTACAACCGGTTTAAAAAAAAGGAATTAAAGATGAATTGTAGAAGAACGACAAATTAAACAGTTGAGCATCGAAACTAACCAATGCCGGTAGTTTAAGGGTAAAAAACCAATGCCGGCAGTTTATGGTTTGAAAAAAAAAATAACCAGAAAGAGTCGAAGTTATAGGAGAAGCGGGGGGGGGGGTTGGAATATTTTAGGGAATATTACATGGTTTTCAGGGGAAGCAGAGGGAGATCAGCTGTCGTCAATAGAGTATGGGGGGGGGGGGGTATAGAAAGTTGACTGCCTATTAACTGCCGATGAGGCGGAGGGGGGGGTTAAGAATTTTACAAAGCCTTATGGGAGATCAGGTAAATTTTACTGTTACACAACCAAAATTCTCCGACCCCCATCCTCTCCCCCCTTCGTAAATATTGACCGATCCTTACGATGATGTTTTAGATATATACACATATATCTTTAGTGTTGTTACATGGTACGCTGCCTTGTTATCTCAAAAGCATAAAATCACAGGCGTTCAACTTACAATAAACAAAGTTGATTGTCACTTCGTGGGGTAGGGGCGTGTGACTCTCGAAATCAACTCTACAGCGTAATCGGCTCTGATTGTCTGTACTGGTCTTTGATGATGCTCGTAGAGTTATGGTGGCTTTCACGACTTGCAAAACTTGGATTCCATTAGATAACAGTGCTCTCTTAATTTCACACCTCATTTCCCTGTTACAGTATCCGAACAAAGCCCAATGACTCCTTCTCGGGTCATATGCTTTCCATTGGACAAAGTCAACTGTTCCATATGCCCCTTTAAGAATCTCGCAGCTTACGTTGAAGGGAGTATCATAACAAAACTCCTTTGCTTCAGTTCCTGAAGGTAACAGAAATTATATCAGTTTTAAAAAAACGTTCCAACGCGAAGAGGATAAAGAAAATTGACCTCGTTTATTTGCCACAGTCTCAGGTACAATAGCGATAGATAATGCAATTTTCAAGGTTTCGATTTACCCTCTACACCCTAACATCAGCGGATATATTCTCCATACTGTTCCCGATATATTTTCAAGTTTCTGAAGGAGAAGTTGTTTAACAATCAAGAGCTACTTTGGTTGATGACTATTTCCTTTGTTTTCGTGACCTTAATGTTTAATTCAGGAGTTATATCTTGAGGGTTAAGAGGGTTAATGCTGATAAGAGAGTATCATGATAGAGATGAAGATTGAATACGACCAATTATATTTAATGACCACTTGCGTCATCGACTTCTTCTCTTAAGCGACCACTTTGTGATCCCTTTGTTTGTCAGTCAGATACTGTTCCAAAACCTCTTTCTTAAACGACCACTATTTAAGTATTTTGAGCGTCCGCACCCGCTTTAGTGAACAGAAATTTGAAATAATTATTTTGTTTTCGTGTCACCGATGAGTGACCATCCACAAGATGGGGTTAAACCTTTGCGCCGCTTAAAAGAAATTTAATATGCAACATCCCAATCGTGTGACAATGTGATTAGAAGTGTTTATTGATAAAATGATTTTAAGGCTTAGTGAGGAACATATGTCGAATAGCAAACATTATTGTCACAAAATAATATTAGTAAAAAAAACAAGAATGAATGGCACTAGGCGCCGTTCTGAAGAGTTTCAGCTCACTTGGGATGAGGTTTTTCAGAGGGACTTTGATTTTGTTTATTTGCATCAATTTGACTGATAAGATATGATGATGTGATGATCTGCGGAATTTATCAGTCTGCGGCTCGCTGGTTTTGTTTTGATTTTTCTTTTTTTCCTTTTTTCTACGATAAGGGTGGTCGATCGAGAGAGAGTTGATCATGCTTAGCAAGTTCGCAAGTCAGGCATTACACCCGATCGTTAGTGAAGGCGTTACGTGGCATGTACTCCGACCTTTAATTATTTAGAGCCATTGCTCTGGTACAATATCCGACGAAATTGAAGGGAAAACCACTTGTTTATGAAATTTAAGGAGATCTTTGCAATTAGAAGTCGGCTGTGATCTAACACGGAACATCCATTAGAAGTAATAGAAAGCGGATAGTTTTAAAGCGGAAGTGGGTCATTTAAAGTATAAGCGAAAATAATTTAAATAAACAAGGCTCACCATTAGTACGGATGGATTCATGTAGAAGTGCACTGATGAACGCCATACCTAGAAATGGGTCAATTCAGAACATGAAAATTAATGAACTATGACAACGAAGTCTGAAATTTGCAAATCAGCTGGGGTATGCATAGCCTCTGAGTTATGAAGCATGACTGAGAAAGTTCGTAATGATAGCTAGTTTACAAGGATATTTCCATAGCTGAATTAGCAAAAGCAAAAAGAAAGAATCCAATTTATTACGACAACCAACCAACCTTTAAGCTGTCTTTATAAGGAGCCTTTTTCTAAGAACGTTCAGGCTTAGATTAATCAAAGTTTTAAGAACCTAATGAGAACACCCCTAGGCTGTGAGTCAGTTAAGAACGGCTCACGTTTTGACGAGAAGTGCAAATAAGGGTAAAAGAAATGTAAAGCTGTAGTGTCTCTAACACGACAACGAACTCAAATACTTGGGGACACTTTTTAACATCAACAATGTTCTGGGTCAATACAATAAAGAACAACTTAGTTTGTAGTCGAACTTAGTGTGGTCACGTCCGAATTGATTTATCTCTAGCTCGTTTCATGGATCTTGAGCACAAAAATGAAATTTGATAGCAGTGTCATCCGTCGCTTACGCCAGCGATAGCACCCAATTTAAGGGGAACCCTCCACTGTCTAATTCACTTCGTAAAGACTTCATACGTGTATTTGCGTGTCTTCATGGATAAAATAAACAAGCTAAAAGACTGACTTACCAAATAATACATCAGTGGTGCCGTAAGACTGCGTCTTGGTGCGCCACCGCATTCCTTCACAGGCAATTTGTATTAGAAGTATTGAGATCAACAGAGATTAAGAATACGGTGCGAGTTAAACTTGCCTTAAAGCTTTGAGATGAAAGCGAAACTGAAAATTTTCCTTTAACTTCGTCGTCATCTAGCAGTATTGTGGTGGTGACACATTTAGGGCTCGAAAGATGCAAATATGCTCGGTATAACTTCCTGTTAAACGCGGAATCGTATTTTCCGTGACTGACTGATTTCTAAGTATAGGAAATGACCTCTCAGAACTGGGGTGCGAGCCATACATTAGCGATTTGTAACACCTTTGACAAATCTAGTTTTAATTATGTATAGAAAAAAAGACTACAGACTCATTGCGATCTCAAAATATAAATAATTTCTGGTAGGAAACCTTAGCTATGCTCGATCTTATAGCCCTAAATTACTTGACAGTTTTCCAATACACACGGTTAGAATAAACTTAACTTTCCACCAGTAAACTGATCGCTAAAATTAGAAATATAACAGTTGAAGTCCTAAGGACTAAATACACCGGTAGTCAATTGACTGACAATATGTTTTCCACACATGGTTATTCTTCCACCGGAGTGCGATGGAATCTGATGGTCAAGAATAGAATCTAGTGTTTTCCAACGGAATGTTCGATTTTCTGATGGTGAAATACTTAGGAAAAAATCCTGTTTAGGTTATATGGCAGGCTTCCAAAAATGTATGAAGCATATTTCACGCATACTGCACTCGTTTGCGCTTCTATTCTCAACATAGGAGAACTAAAGCAAACACAGCTGTGATACCACTTAAAACGTTGACTGTAACATAAAATTTTTTTTTTTTTTAGGAATTACCCGAATGCTTTGATATTTTTACCTTCTCTAAAGGCGCTAGTTCTCCTCTTCAGCATAACGCGTGAAGGCAGTGTTGAATTCCAAATAGAAACGTGAATAATTTGCCGCCATTGTTCCCGTCCTCACACAACTTTTAATTTTAACCCCTTATATTGTTGTTTTGCAGAGCACATCTTGTAAACGAATAAACTTTGCTCTGTACGTGGCACGTGGCACGTGCAGGGCAATTACGTGCAGGGCACTCACATCCTTATTGTTATTGCAGCCAAAGTTTTCCCACGGTCCTCCATGTAAATTGCAAAGATCGAGCGCATTTTCAACTTGAGTATCTTAACCACAGCCACTCACTTCGAATGTCACGCGAACGCCGCCACTCTCTGATGACAGAACAAACAGGCATAGTTAGAATTTGAATTGAGATAGGTTTTTAGTACACGCGCCTAGCAGATTCAGCGGGCCGTTCTGTGCGGGGAAACCTGTGAAATTCAAACACTTCTTTTATCACCAAATGTCCCATTTAATCAACAGCAATTGTTATCAACCTTCCCGAGAAATGAGATACCGTGTTAAAACGTGCCAACGGCAGAACAACTGCAATGATTTCGAATTTGCCTTCATTCTTGTCACGGTTTTGATTCCCAATTAGACATTTTTTCCTTGTTATATTATTAAACCTTTACACCCTAACATCAGTATTCATATCCTCAATAATGTTCTCCATACATTTCCTGAGGTGCTCACAAGGAAAATTTGTTTAAAAATCAATTGTAAAAGCTTCTTAAGTTGTCTTTCATTTCCGTGGTCTTACTGTGTCCTTAGATTCTAGTCACTCTAGGGGTCAAAGTGTTGACCTCGTTCTCCCGCTTCGTTCGGTAATTGACTTGTACTGCTCTTCCCTCTATTATTTTAAAACAAATAGCTCAGTCTGTAACAAAAATTATGGGCCTCCAACTCGGTTAATAAAAAAGTTATCATTCTAAGAGTGAAATAATTTAACCTTTCTAACTTGTGTTACTTTAAATTTTCATGCGCAAACTTGGTGACCCGCGCTGCGTTTGCTTTTTCGCTCTCACGTCTGTCTCTTGTCCAATTTTCCCAATCTGAACTTTTTCGACAACTAGGTAAAGAAAAATACTTGCGACACCAATTTATTTATTATCGACACACATATCGCGTGAAACAGGAGAGGAGACAAAACGATGAATTTATTGAAATAATCAGCAGGACTAACATTTTGACTATTGGGAGTACTGTTCGTCGTTTCTTCTTAAAGACCCGAATGAGCTCGGCTGAAATGGATTCTTGGTTCACATGTAGGCTAAAAAATTTAAAACGTTAAAAATTTTTGCGTTTTATCTTGTCGTGAGACAATAAACATTTTCTTTTGCCGGGAAAGTGCGTTGATTAAAATCGGCAATATTCTGTATGCATTTCTACAACTGCTTGATCACAGTTCTCCTCAAAGTCAATGTAAGAAAGCTGATTTAATAAACAAGATTCAAACTCCTTGTTTAACGAAACAGCTTTAAAACACGTGTAAGCTCCTTTGTGAATATAGTTATAAGTTTAGTTTTAAGTCCATCAATATGTGATACGATACAAAAGGTTACATATTATTATATGAACTTTTAATTAAATTAATTTTCTTCTATCGTCCTCTTCTCCTCATCCTCCTTCTTCTTCTTCTTCTTTTTCATCTGATCAAAAGCGTCCATCCTGTTTATGGCTGTCTCGATTTCATCCAAGTTGGATCACATCTCAAATAGACCATCACTTCTCGCGCAAATGACAGTAAAATGGTTTTCTACTCTCCCCTCCCATCCAACTCAACCCTAGAGGGGGTGAGAGATACAAGAGGACTCAGTAACTTGATGAGTTTCAAAATCGTTACTGTTTGAACTCGGCGAGTTGTCAAAAGACGCCGCCACTCTTGAAGGACAAAGGCGTCGTTTCCAATCTAAAATGATTATTCCAACCGCAATGCCAACGAAAAAGGACACAGGCATCACAATCCCAAGTATCTGTTTGAGTAGGGTGACCTGTCCTCGTGCAGCCGAGACAGTAGGTGCTGTTGGCGGTCCTGTAGCCCTAGACGGATGAAGACCTGGGTTCAAACTGTTTCTTCGCATAGTAGGTGGTGTATCACTCTTTTCGCCTGCAAATAAATAATACAAAGACTAAGGACCTTTAAACCCTTACAATATCACCCTTAAATCAAATTTAAACGGCTTGAGGATGAAGGAAATTCTTTCTGATTTAAAAAGCTCCTAATTGTCAAACAAGTTCTCCTTGTCATTACCATAGAAAATGAGAAGAGAACAGTGAAGAGAATGCGATCATTAACGTTAGGGTGCAGAGGGTAAAAGCAATATCACGCAAAATGGCTATTCAGAGAAGTCGCTTAAGGAGTCGATATTAGGCCTGTCCTGCATGATTGTGCTTGGCAACTTTTAAGTATCTTTTGGCGTTTGGAGCAACATTTCGCGGTTCAAGCAACTGCGAGCAAGTTTTGTCTTTCTGAGCAACCTTTTTAAGCAAAATATAGGTTTAGAGCACATAGCAAGAGCGAAAAAGATAACAATTTCAAAACTTGTAATTTTACAACGTTTTGCAGGTCTATTGAAATCTTTATCTAACATTTTAATAAATAATTGGCTAAAAGGACGTTCGGCAAGACGTCAAATGAACCATGCGCTTTGTTCCCTTAGACTTAAGTATGCCCAATATCTCCTACTTTTAAAAGAAATTATTTAAAGGCAAGTTTTAGCTATTTTTCTTGATCGATGTTAGCAATTATCGTTACTAACAAAAAATAAAGCCTTCCATTAAAGTTTAAAAGAAAATATCAAGAAATTTATAAGGCAACTTTTGAAATCTAGTATACACCTTAAGTGACCTGTACGCAAATGTACAGATAGCATTATATGACCGTAGTTCAAAGGAGAGATTTCATAAGGAAGAATAAAGGAAGGCTAATCTCGTCAGTACAATGCTTTCAATGACTTTACAATTACTATTTTATTGTTACAACAAGCAAATCGAATCCAATCGTCGATTTAAGGATCAAACGACTTCCAATAAACATCGACAACTGTTCCATGCACCAGATTTAATTCAATTGACTATAAACATGCACAAATTGCGCTGATAGGGCATCTGCTTAATTTAGCTGAAACTCCCAAAATGTATCATAGCAAAGATACAACCAGAATCCTTCGCCAGTTCAAACTCGCGCGATGACTTTTGCCACTAACTGACATCAACAGAATAGGAAATGGAGCTCAAAGATGGTGTTTTCTACTGAGAACTTCTCTTCTCTAATAACAACTTAAATATGTAAAATTAAAATTCACTAGCAAGTCGCAAAAAATATTTGTCAAACGCCCCAGACAAAACACTGTTCAATGAGCTATTCCACCCAAGAATTCATCCTGCTACGGAAAAGCAAAGGAGAAAACAATTCGCCCCTAACCGCTTCGAGAACTCTCACGCTCAACTGTCGTCGTCTTTCAAACCATTTTGCTCAAGGATTTGA